GGAAAGTCTGTAACAGAAACAAATGGATGGTTACAGATCGCCATTAGAAATCGCATCAATCATGTGTGTAAGTAGATAAGTAGATGTGTCCCTGTTCTGTGTTCCTGTGAAGAGCTGCTTACCGAGATCATGATACTGAGTCTGCAGTTGTTGCAGGAGTTTCTCTTTCTCGGTGAGTCGTTTTTCTGTGAATGTGAAGAAAAAAAACACATATTAAATGTGCTAAACACATTAAAAGTGACGATTTCTGTGCTTTGTATATAAAAGATGGATATGGGTCTGAAACATAAGCCAACGTAAATTCTCTCTAATGGCCTGCAGGGATCCACTCCTCTGAATGCAAACGTAATGAATCACCCTAGAATGACCCTAGTTGTCTCTTGATTTATGACTTCACTAAATACCTTAATAGTGAGTTTATTTTATGAATCACTGGTTTCGAGTCTTTGAGTTACATACTGATGTCACTTTTGTCAATTAAGATCACATTTAAAGACAAATAACATAAAGCATACATTGGGCATGGATACATTTATGACTGACAAGTCATAAATGTATGTAATGTCATCCATTCATGAGTATATAATGTCATCCACTTATCAGCCTGATCCATCTCTCATTGTGGTTTAAGCCCATAAACCAATGAGTAACTGCATGGTTTTCTACATGTGTACTCTGTGTTTTATGTACAGTGGGGCCATGCTAATAACTGATCCATGCTAATAACTGATCCATGCTAATAACTAATCTCTGGCCATGATCAGAAAAAAAAAGTCTAAAATTTTAGTTGCATCCCTCCAACATTTTACACTCATCAGTCACATAATTAGGTACATGTTGCTAGTACTGGGTTGGATCAGAGCTGTCTTAATTCTTCATTACATAGATTCATCATGGTGCTGGAAACAATCCTCAGAGACTTTATTCCATATTGACCTGACAGCATCACATGATTTTGTCACATGTCATCCATGGCATGATTTTCCCATTCCATCACACCCCAAAGGTGACCATGCGAGACATTTCAGTACAGTGAAACTCTCATGTTCAAGTAACCAGTTTGAGATGACATGAGCTTTATGACATGCCACATTAGCCACCAGAGGATGGACATGTGGTCATAATAGGATGATAAGATCTAATACTAAGGCACCCAAAGTGTGCCAAGAAAATATCTCCCATGCCATTACACCATTATCACCAGGTCATGGATCCATGGTTTGATGTTGATGTGAAATGTTGACCATCTACCATCCAAAACAAGCAGCACAAGTGGAGACTTATCAGACCAGGGAATCTTCTCTAATCCAGTTTCTGTGAGCACATGAAGTTTCCTGTTCAAACTGCTTCAGCCGTTTGTCTTGACCATGTCTACCTGTCTAAGTTCCACTGATTCCACATCTTAAGTAAAAGTCCTGTGAAGGCCTCATTCTGGTTCTCTAAATTTGAACTCAACCTTCAGAACTTTAAGAGCTCCACCTTTAATTCATGTGTTCGTATATATCCCAATATTCACCTCAATGAACCTGCTATTGCACAATGAAGTCTCTACAATATTTAAAGCTTATATAGTTATTGTTGTACTCACCTAGGTCCTTATTTTGCCTCTGCAGCTCCTTGTTGATCAGACATTGCTTTTCTAGCTGCTGCTTCAGCTCCTCTATTTGCTTCTCCATAGCTACAGAGGGAATAAGATTTTTTTTTAAAGGAAGATTTATGGGAGAATTTCATATAACAGGAAAACGAGAAGTTGTATAAATTATGCACCTGAACACAGACATAAAATGTAGCCCCAGTTGTTGTGATATTTGTGGAAACTCCTACACACAAAGCCATAAAGGGTGATATTTAAACTGTAACTGTGTTGATACCTTTTTCTCAAAGCACTGAACCCTACTTCACTGGCAGCACACAGCAAGAGCCCTGCTGAATAATGCAGACTAATGATGGACAGTCAACGGGGTGCTTTCTGAGTGCTGTCACACCCTGCCAGCATTTGCTGAAGATCTGTTACAGTTTCTGTGACTGATAATGACACAAAACCTGTCAAAGCTGTATAAAAACCCCTTTAAATGATAGATCGCTTTTTCCAGGCTTTGCGTTTATATGCAGATTATTTATATTTGCTGGTTGTGGGTTGTTACACTAATGTGAGACATAAAAAACCCTGTGACTATGCATAAGCAGGTCATATTAACTGACAGATTCATTAGCACTGCTGCATGAGATTAACAATGAAGTTAACCACAAGCCAGATCCAATACCTCTCTTAATCGAGGTGACCTGTTTAAAGAACCTCTGCAAACAAGATTCCTTTTCTGTTTTCTTTTTTTAAACACTCCAATCAATACAAACACACTTGGATATGTGACCATTTTACTAAACACACAGTAAAAACCCTGGAGAGGCTGTTTGCCTGTGTTCACGGCACACATCGTATGACCCCAGGTTACAGCTGCCTCACCCTGAACATTGGACAGGCCTAAGATTAAACTAAACTCATAAAGTCATTTAGTAAAACACCAGCAGAATGTGACAGGGAAATATAAACAGCTCCTGTTCTGCAAGGGAGCATGGGCACTTAAAAAAAGACATGTACAGCGGCCTAAACTAGATATTTTTCCAGGGATTTCAGTACAGAAAGCGACGTGACTGCAGTGCACATAGCTCATAAATGTGTTACAGAAAAGAAAAAGACCTTAATGGTCAGTTTACACAGATCATAAAAATATGTCCCTACATGCTTACTTGAATATCAGATTTGCCTCAGGATGGTTCGTTAAATTGTCACCAAAGCACACACTAAGACAGAGCCGTGCACAAACACAATTTGTAAACTTTCTAGGAACTTGTAGCTGTTGAGACTGATTGAGATGATAACCTTTAGTGCCTGCAGGCTGACACTCAATGGGGGAAATTGCTCAGTTATTCTTCAGCCCTGGGGCAACTGATAGGTAGGTGGCTGTATTTCTGTTTGAATATTTGCTGTTTCATTGGTCCATGTTTGTTATTTTTGTTACAATGGTAAAAAAAAAAAAAAAAAATCAAAAACAAAACAGGTTATTATTTAAATACTGAATGAACTTTAAAAGTGAGCAACATTCATTTAACATGCGTATATTCATATATTCTGTAAATGATCCTGGAGGATCCCAGGAAACATGATATTAAAGCAGACAACGCCAAAAAAAGGAGAGAGAAAAAGAAAGAAAAACAGATATTTGTGTCTGCTTTTCAGCTGCACGCCAGGAACATGATGCCAGCTACCATTATACTGACACAGCCAGCATACAGTCCACTTCATACTGCTTCATTATTAATTCATGGCCATGTGTAACTACAGCTGAATTCTCATAAGATACTCTGTAATAGAAACCTGGAAGGAAGTCATGTGCTTTGTCTTTATTAGGCAGCCTTTTCTCAGATATGACGTTTTGTTAATCGCTGTAGTAAATCAAAAACCAATAAAACTTAAGCTGAACCAATGCTGATCTGTACTTTAAACACAGCGGTAATATATTTAAAGAACCGATAAACGCCTGAAGGTAGCCTGTCTGACCTAATCTACAACTCTGAGACACTATTTGCACGTAATCTGTGGACGAATAGACTGAAGCCACACTCACCTGCAGGCATGGTATGATCAGCAGACAAGGTGATCTAATGTCCTGCCTATGAAGGCCGCATGGATCACAGGAGCCAAATAATCACCTTGAGCTGCTCAACGATATCCACTTTTCCACTGCAGAGAAGTTTTTTGCTTTCTGTGCAGTTTTTCTGACCTGCTTGAACCCCAGATGAGCTACAGACTGGACACACCTGAGCAGACACACCGCATGCAGCCTGCAAACTCTCTATCAATACTCCTTCTACTTTTCCTGCCACTGCATACTTTCTCAGCTTACATTTCCCCGTCTACAGCTTTACTATTTTTACTTCTCTCCAGCTCTCTCTCTCTCTCTCTCTCACTAAATCTTTCCTTCTTTTTCTGTATCTATCAATCTCCACGGCTCTGGTGTTGAATCATTAACCATAACCTGAGGCTCCTCCTTTTCACACCAGGTAGAGGAATACAGGCAGCAGGAGTACGAGAAGGAGAAGAAGAGGAGGAGGAGGGAGGAGGAGGATGAGCTGGAGAGAAAGCTGGGCTGTAAAAATTATGCTCAGTTGAGAAAACACACAGCTAAAGTGTGATGTTGCAGCACGTTATTCATCCCGAAAGAACACATCGGGCAAGTAGAAGAAAAGCGTACCAGGGTGCTTCTTTTATACCTCATTCACATTATTTTGTTACCTTAAAAAAAAACAGGAACTGATTTGTGATTACTGTGACGTTTATTAGCAATAATTGTTTCTCACTGACGCAGATGACAGAGAAGTGAGGAAATTAAAGTGGGAGCACAAGCAAACAAGTCACTGCAAAAGCTGCCACAAAGCTGAAGTAGAAGCATAAAAGCTGCACAGGTCCTCACTCTTCTACCTTCATATTTTTGTCTTTAGAAAGAAAAAATGTGTTCGCAACAAGCACCTTTCTTCCAAATGGCTGCATTCACATAAGAGCTGGGGTAGTGTGGAACTATTTTAGGGTAGATTTTATCTGCCAGATTCGGAAAGTGGCTACTCCTTCAGGTTCCTGTTTTTCCACAGAGTAAATGCCACTGAATGTTTTCTAGGCCACAAATGACTCTAAATGAGGTTAGAGGGTTAGCATTGTGACAAAGGGCGTGGGCCTTTATTGTTCACAGTTAATTATTGATATCTTCCTGGTTAATCTGCGACATTAATGACTCGAGCGCTCAGAGATTAAAGGCCTCGGATTTCAGCGGTGCAAGTGAAGGGTAACTCAGTGACAGGCAGCATATGGGTTATAACATTTTTCCACTACAGGTCAAACCTGGTGATACGTGCTATAACAAAATAAACCTGCTGCGGCTTGCTATCGATCGCAGTGAACGGCCACTTGAAGCTTCCAGACAAACTCAAGATGTAAAAATCACCAGTCGATCTTTATCACCCTTTAATTGTAGTGTAATTACAAGATACACCATCGAACATACAATGCCCAAATATTGCACCATTACATGATATTGCAATAACACCGTGATTGTCTTTACAGCCCATACATAAAGTTTATAAATAAGGCGTGAGTTTTAAAAAAAAAAGATATTAAAAGGCAGGTGAATGTGGTAAACATGCAAATAGCTGATGGATTCGTGACATTCATGAAAAGCCTCTTTTACTTCTGAAAAAGCAAAATTAAATTCTCGTCCACCCTCACGCTGACAATTAAAAGCCACCAATTAGCACCATTATCACCTATTTTCTTCATGCCGATGACTGAAAACACTTCATTTTATAGCCAGCAGTGGCTTCATTTAAAAATGGCATGAATCCTACACTAATACCACCTAGCACAGTAAAGCTACATATTAATCAGTGCACTGTTGGTAATACAAAAACAAAGCTGATGTACTGTCTACTGATAATAAAAATACATTCAGTACATGTACATGCTGATCTGGTCCTTGTGTGATGCTTACGATACTTAATTACACTTTATAGCAGCAGATACTGAAGCACCACACAGGGCGTTAATGGTCTTTACCCAGTGTCGGCTCATTTACCACTGGTGTCGTTTACTGTACAGCATGCAGGGTATAAACACAGGAAAGTTTCATCCTTTAAGGCATGCCCCAAACCCCGAGGAAAACACTTCTTGAAGGCTCAAAACTAAATAAGCATTTGATGCAAAAGGGAATAAAAACATAATTAGCAAGAAGAAAACAACAATAATGCTGTTTTTAATTTTAATAACCAACTCTTCACTTTTTTTAAATAGCAACAAGCAGAGCACTTGAACTCTACAGTGCAGTCTACATACTACAGGTGTGCGGTGCACGGACGGCCTTTGTGACTGAAAGTAGGTAGCAATCAATTGATCAGCAATATTTTCAAATTGACTAAAATGTATTAAATACTTCAAAATAGCTTTACTGATTTTACTTCACTGTCATTTTTTTATTTCTACATGACTTGAACATGAACCTGAGGTCATGAGGTAGATGAGCAGAGTTGCAGCTGCAAATGTTGTATTACTTCAGTGTAAGTCCCTTCATATTGCTCGTTAGTCCTTCATTTGCTCCTCTCTGATACCACAGGCTTGCTTCATTTCCTCCCGGTGTTCAAAGACTGCGTGCACAAACTGGCCAAACAAGCGCTCCATATAGCTCTCGCCTAGAGGAAAAAAACCCTGCAAGAAGGCAATGTGTCCCCCATGGGCCGTCAATACCAGGGCGACGTTAGGAAGATCCTGAACTACGGACACCGGGAAGGCTGTGAGAGCAGGAAAGAAAAAGCCCAAATGAATATAAACAGACAGCAAAGTAGACACAAAGCAGACACGTGAATCGGAAACCTTTTGTAACCCGGAGACTTCAACGTCCATGATTACATATAAAAAAGGAATTGTGCTAAAAAGAATGAGACATTTCTTAATATAATAGAGATAAATTCAATCATCTGTTTTGACGTCGCTTTAGTCCATCTTAAATGAGCTCACACACAAAGATGAAAGTGTTTGAGAGAGTTTTATCTTGCATGTGTGGATGCAGTATTGAACTGTATTCGCTTACATATGTTTTCAGTAGTGTTCCTGAGTCTGTGGCAATGAACCCACTGGCACCTAAGGGCCTTAAGATATCAGCCTTGGTTTTTAGCTTTGTCACTTGCATACAGAGAGTTTGCTTGATTCTCTAAAATTCCAAGATCATTTGCAGCTTTATTTTGAGAAACTTTACTGTCAACTATTTTTTCGTGTAGTCTTTAACAGAGTAGTAAACGCTGCCCCACCTTTACTTCTGAGAAACCTAGACACTCTTGGATGCTCTATTTATACCCAACCGTGTTACTAATGTTCCACCAGGTGTTTTCTTTAGCAGTACACTTTTAATATGATGTCTTGTACAACTTTCAGTAAAGCATTCAATTTTACACAATGTTCCCAACTTGTTTTTTTCGAATAGGACCATAAAATCTGAAAAACGTCACATTTATGAGTAAACCATTACGGCTGTTATTTCCCCTTTGCAGTGCTTATACTGACACACCTCTCCTGTTGTGTACTCACCAGTTTGTGGAGAGAAAGGGTCATCAGCGGCATTGAGACACAGGATGGGTACGGCTGTATTGGGGAGCTTTTTGCCTGGGCTGGCATCGCGGTAATAATCCATACATGAGCTATAACCAAACATCAGAGACGTATAGCGTTCGTCAAACTCACGGATTGACCGAGCCTACAAGGGGGTGTGAAAACAAGATGACGATGAATGGAAAGTCAATTATACATCTAAGAAACTGACAAACTGTGAGTAATATTGTATCATACCTTCAGGACATAGTCAACATCCACCACTTTCTCTAAAATCTTCCTGTGCCTGTGAGAAACAGATTTTGGGGTTTTATTTAACTGGATTTACAACCGCAAAACTGTTAGACAAAATTTATGAACCCAAATGTATCCAACCTGGTGACAGCGCGGTGCAAGCATCTCGTGATGTGCCTGTTGAAGAGCAGCCAGTTGAGTGGTTCCTCCATCGAGTCGGAGGACTTACGTGCATCCCAGGGTACGGAGATGGTGATGCCGGCAACCAATCCTGACTCGGTGTGCTTACGGGCCAGGTAGTTTAACAACACCATGCTGCAGCAGGGTGAAAAGAAACGAATCATGCAATTGTTAAAAATCAATAAATAAAAGAAATGGAGGAAAGACACAGATGGCAAATCTAGGTCCAGAAATGGAGGCCAGCGGAAACACTATGCACCAACTCACCCTCCCAAAGACACACCAGCCCCAAGCACAGGAGCACTGGGGTAGAGCCCTTTGACATGCTGCACCACACACTCAAGATCTGAAGTATTGGCAGCACAGTAGGTGACTGGTGTCTGAAGCAAGCAGAGGGATACAGG